AAACAAGAAAGGAAAAATATCAATGAGTAAAAATAACAAAACACTGATTTGCTTGTGATGTAGCCAATAATCTGTTTTAAAAGCTGTTACTTAGAGTTGGCACTGAAATCAGGATAGATTAGTAATTTACTTCTTAATATTAATCTTAACTACATAGATGATAATACGATGACATTTAAACCTGTGTATCTTGATTCTTATAAGGTAGGGAACAAACAGAGAGATTGGGAATAGAAGGCCTCAAATAAAAGGCAATAAAAGCAAGAAATTTGTTGGTACGCTATCATATGGATGCTCACTTGATTACATTTTGCTACCTGGAATCTTTACTTCAATCAATTAACAATAAAAGCCAAAGCTGGGAAGCCACAGCAAAAAACTATTTGGTGGCATTTATAAGTCCAAATCTCGTTTGCAGATAATCAATATTAAAGGGTGAGAACACTTGAATCGTAAAATTGATGGAGAAATCACATAGCATGATGCAAAGAGTAGGAATATACATTTCTAGTATCAGCAGGGCCATTTGTCTCCATGAAGAATTTTTGTGCTTGTTGAATTACACTGCATAAGAAGATCCAAAGATTGCTCAGTCCTAAAAAGCTAATTGTTTCGTAAAAAACTAAATACAAATAATATGGGAGGATAAGGAAGAGTTAAATGAAATTATGTGTAAAATATATATATATATATATATGTAATTAAACAATTACATATATGACATAATAAGAAGTACAGTTCCTATGTTGAAGATTCAGATTTATTAAAAAGATAATATGAAACAATTTAATCCAGAGAAATGAATAGCACAAAACACTGAGCCTTATACATGCATCACCATCAAAGTGCCAAAGTAACTTGAGTGGCCACCTTTTCCCTAAATGCAAAAAGGGTAAGGAATATAAAAAGGTTTAAAAATGTAAAAACTAAAGCTCATTAACATTATACTCTACACCATCATCTACTCCAAGATTTGCAATTTTTCTCTTGTATGGTCATAAATACTTTATATAGTTACTGAAGTGTACTTTATGGACACATGCATACATCTAAACCATCTATCTTCATGTATATTTGTGTGCATGCACATGATGCACGTATGTCTGTAGGTTTTTTTGAGAAGTATATTCCCATAAAAAGGACAACGAAAACTAATAAAACATTCAGCATGGATGGGCATTGAGGCTTGACTTTGTGTGCAGAACCATTCCAAACAGAAAACATAACAATAATGACATGAAATGCTATGTCACATTTATATCAAACCCAGTTCAAACAGGGAAGCATAGCCACTGCCTAATGCAAGAAAATTCTCCAGACATTAACATCAGCAAAGAAATCTTTGTCAGTTCATCACGTTTGGAAGATGAAACGTTGTAAATTTCACTAACCTTGATAAGCAATAAGCAAAAGCCAAAACTGTTGACAAGGATCTGAAAAAATTAAGGAGACGCTGCTTGACAACTTGACTAGCTTCTGTTGGAAGAACCATTGGATCCAATGCTCTGTAAGATATTCACTTTTCTTCAGTATATTATGAGTTATTTGATATGATACTCTTGTTTCAGAAGAAATATGACCTGCAGATGAAGATTGCTCCAGTCCATAGCAGCAAAGGTTGAACATAAGATGTCAAAACATGATATGTGCTACTCCTTTTCCAACTACTATCACTCTTCTGTAGGACATTATGAGATAATAGAGCTCAAATTAGTATATGACATAAATATATAAATAACAAATTATTCATGAACAGAACTATAGAGCAAATTGGAATTGGAAAGGCACATACATGGAGCAATAAGTTTCTGCTTTGACACACGATCGGGCCAAGTCCCCATATTGCAAAAACAATGATACCAACTGCTGAAGCCAATTTGATAACGAGAGGACTTCCTTGTGAAGGATGAAATGATCTACATAACAAAGCTATTAAGCTTGCATGAAATTGACAAAAAAATGGAAAATATTATAATCTTGAACATGATATTCGGAGCTGCTTGCTAAGACATTATAAAATTCCAGAATGCCAAAATGTCAAAATATAGTACCGACAAGCATTTTGACTCAACTTATGATTTCATGACACTTGTTTTGACCTTGTTTATAGTTTTATGAGGTAAGTAAGAGTTCTTCACAATTAGAGGATACTTCAGCATACATGAAAGTCAAAAAGTCTTCATCTCTTAAAGCCTTAACTTCCACTCGGATTAATATAGTCACTGATTCTCTTTCCTTCAAATCGACATTGCTTTCGAGACATCCCTTATTTTCATCTAATTATGCATTTCATAACGGGACAATAGTTCTTTTTCATTTTAAACAATTATAAGGAATCTAGCTACTTTAGATTCCCTTATGACCTTAATGTATCTTTCTAAACCGGTAAATTTGTGCAGTTTTTCTCGTAACCACATATAAAACATGAAAGAAAAATTAAGAGATGTAGTTGGCACATGGAATTAGTAAAAGTTCAAAGCCACCAAATTACAAGGGTTATAGAACATATGTCAGTACAAATTAAATCTCAGCAACATAACCCAGGCTATGGGAAAATGCACCCTATAATTCAGGTAGGTAGTTCAATAAAAATAGTTACCTTGCTAGAGTTAGAGTGGCATTCTTTACATAGGTAGCATCCCACGAAGGGCCTGGTTTTATAAAAGAGTGGCACTTGAACTGATGATATCTACCTGGGACAGTGTATTCTCGTTTGTCCCTAGTCTTCAAAAAATATGCACTCCAAGAATTCTGTCTCTACAATGAAAAAAAGAAACATTGTCAACGTGTCCCTACAAAGATTGAACATGTTAGAGCTTCATGAATAAAAAGATGATGTAACCAGAAACTTATTTTGTTGTCAAAAATAGCAACCAGAAAAAATAATCAACCAGATCCGCATTCATCCAATATATAAATTACCAGAAAAGACTAACCAGCTTACGATAAATGCCAATCACAACAATTTCAATTTTCTTTACTTCTTGTAATTACTTCCCCACCCCCTAACCCCGGCGCAGGAGGCAGGAAAAGTTCCGAAGGATATTCAGTACTTTCAGAAGACCAATTGGGATAAAACAATGAAAGTAAGAGCAGTGACTTCATTTCTTTGTTTGTTTTTATTTGAAACGCAAGGAAAGCTACAACATCTGCAGCCTATTTTTGTGGTCGTCCCTGCTTTATATTCTAGAAGAGTTGACTGAATAAAATCCAATATGCTATATAGATGACAGAAAGTAAAGGAACCATTGCAACCAATTCATGAAACATAGCAAACTACCTCCAGATTATTTTGAGAGAGCTACAGTTTACACAATGTCTATTCTAATCTAATTAGAAGACTGTCAAGTATGAATAGAATAAAACTAAAAACATCTTAAGATTTAAATGTGAAGTTGTAAGGATTCATGTATGAAAACGGCAAGATCCATATTTCTCCTACCATACCAGTGAAAATGTTGATAGATTAGTGTCCAATAAACATAATTGGCCTTCTCCTGTTGTATTCTGCATTTAGCCATATGATAGTGTTGTCAGCAATGAGAGAAAACATTAGTTACATAAGTTAAACCGTGATTGATTCAAGCTTTGACATTTTTACCTGAAATCGTTTGCTGCGTTCATGGTTCTTGCAAATTCCCAATTGAAGGGATAGTTGCAAAGAACCAGAAACAGCCATTATTTGATAAAAGTATGTGGCAGCAAAAGATGATGATGCTACTCAGCAGAAGTCTTCATAAACTTCAATTGGACAATGGCATAAGACTGACTAAAACCAAGAGTCTTGCATTATTAATGCATGTTGTAGAAAAATAAACATATTAGAGTTGCCATTCATTAATCATCACCTGAAGCTAAGATGAAATAGAAATTCAAAGACAGAAATGTCAAAATAAAGTAATGGTGTGTGAAATGAAGCCCAATACTATCAAGCGGTGAAAACTGAATTCGCTTTCAACTACCAGACCGTAGCCAAATAAACAGTGTTCTGAAAACCAGACCAACCAGACTGGTTCAAACAGCAAAACGGGGAACCGGTTCGGTTACAGCCTCAGGAGAGGATAGTAAAAAAGCTGGGATGAAATCTTATAAACTGGCCGGTTCAACCGGTAACCAATCAGCTAGTTTATCCTGTTGTTGTTTTAGAATAAAAAATGAAAAGAAAAACGAAGAAAGAAAAAAATTTCTTAAGGAGAAATTCAGCTTTGACATAAATGGATATGTGTTTTATGAATATCATTGACATCATATAACCTTAATGTTTGGTTATGATAAGATGGTGATTTTTATTATTAATAAAAGATTAACTTATTACTTTTTTTTACCTCCAGTTCGATATTGGCCTTTCGACATTGATCCTAAAGATATCAAAGCCAACTTGCATTTTTGTCAATCGATAAATATTCACAGCCATTAAAATTGACAGTGCTGAAACAGATTATGGGTAATGATTGGCGTAAAAAGGTACAATTCTAAAAAATTCCCCAAAGATATGGCAACTGTTAACAGAGGACGGCCCAACCACATGCAAACCTCTATCAGAAGTCACTGACTATTTAAAAATGTAATTGAAGTTCACTAATACCAAATATAATCCCTCCTAAAAACGAAAAGGGGGCGTTCAGTAGTAATTTATACTACGTTTTCTTTTCATAAAACTAGTCTAATAACAAATTCTAAATCGAATAGCCGAAAAATTACTAGCCCTAGTGCACTTTCACATGAAACATAAAAGAAAATCTGTACGATCACCGCGGGAAAATTATTTATATAAAAAGGAAACAGCGCTATAAATTCGAATTGATTCACAACAATCAAGGTGAAATGGTAGGAGACGAAGTCTTCTTACCTGAAATAAACTGCTGCAAACAGATAACACGAAAAGAAGGTTCGTCTGGCGGTAGGGTGTCAATTGAAGACGCGGCGATAATAGAATTTTGTAGGTAGGGGGTGATGGTGGTGGTGCCGCCGCCGCCGAAAAAAGAGACTTGGTTGCTGCACGTGGCGACGCTGTTTGATGTATCTACAGAACGTGAGGTTCATCTTTTCTTTCTATAAAAAAAATTGCCAGCCATAAATAATAATAGGAAAATGAAATTAATTAAGGAAAAATGAATTAGCAAAATACAAATAAAAGAATGAATTTGGTTATTCTGTTTCTGTTATTGTCTATGTATCTATACATAATTATTTATTAATCTCATCGTGTTTGTATAGAATAGTATTGCAAAATATTAATAAGTTAAAAAGAAAAAGAAACTAAAATTAAAATGACATATTATGATTGTAATTTATTTAGATATATCAGATCTTTCAAATAAAAATAACAAATACACAGTATAATGGAAAAAAATAATTATAAACGGTATAATTTGAAATTATACTTGTGAATTCAAGTCTCGTTAGAATAATTTGATAGATTATGCTACATGTACATTATATTATCCATCAGGATTGTCCATAATGTACAAATGACAACATGATTAAAAAGTTGAAAAATAATTTTTTCAACCCTCCAATCATGGAATTTTATATGTACATTATGGACACTCTTATGGATTACGTAATGTACATGTAGAATTATTCTAATTTGATACTTGTTTTTCGTATTTGACTATTGTTTGGTCAATTTATATTTGAAATTTCAGCATAATAATTTCTTAATATAATATTCACAAATTTGAAAAATCTACGCTATATTCTCCATTGGAAACTATTGTATTTGTCATATTTTTACGGGTAAATTAAGATTTCATATGATATGGTTATGGATCATTAACTTTCAAAATTGTGATTTTGGATTTACAACCTAGTTAAACGGAGTAAATAATGTTATTTATGATGAAAACTATCGATTGTCATTTTACGTGGCATATATGTGACTATCTGTGATCTGGTGTATGAGACAGTAAAAAAATATCACATTAAACCCCACCCCCCCCCCCCCCAAAAAAAAAAAAAAAAAAAAAACATTGCCTTACCCCAAATAATAAGAGAATTAAACTATTTGTACACACAAAGTGTACACCTTGATTGAAACTCTTTATATGTCAAAAAGTTGACATTTGGTAAACCAATGTGTCAACATTTATGTGCATGTAGTGTAATAAAAGGGACGGAAATTTCTTGAACCATTCAAGTCTTTTTATTAAATTTTATTTTTATGTGTTTTAACTTAATCATATTTTAATATTAAAACGAGATAGTTGATTAGGATTTTTAATGTTGTTTTGTCATTCCTAATTGGAATGTTAAAATCACACACAAGTTTTAGTAGATTCGAAGATAAAATTAGGTAGTTTGACGATTTTTTCCTATACCCATAAGTCATGTGAAAGTTGTATACAAATTTATCATTCTCATTGATTATTTCGATCAGCCAAAGACTTAAATTCACCAATTTAAAAAGACTGGAGAGCTGAAATTTCAATTTTTAAATTGACGATTCAAGGCTATGCCATTGAAAGATTAGGAAGCCTAACCCTAATTTACATATTTTTCATTGCAATTCTATCTCAGGGTAAAAGTTTCCCTAAACTATTTATGATTATTTTTGAAAATGTCACCTTAAACAATTTCGCTTAAGACTTTCAAATTGTTTGCCTATTTTCGTAAAATTTCAATATAATGGAGAAGAATCAATATATTTTAACGCTGCATTAAAAGAGGGCTGTTCTAACCTCGATCACGTGCACGATTTTCAATCTTGACTTAACCTACGGACTTTATATTTAACTCAATATCGATTTAATTAATTTTTAAATAAAATATCAATTGTTGATAATAATAATAATAATAATAATAAATAAAGCCCCTCAAAACATAACTTTAAAACTTGAAATATTTGTTCAAAAATTCATCGAGGATATGAGTTAATTATTCCAAAAACAACTAAAATTTGGATCGCACGATCATGGACACCTTGTTTAACTTTGTCAAAATACTTTAAACGAGCCAATTGTGAATTCAGTAACTAAGCCATTGTTTGAGCCATATTATATTCTAAAGAATGCATTTTTGAATAGTGTATCGATGAAAAACGTGTGGTTAAAAATAAAGAAAAATTTTAAATTTACGTAAAATATTATTTTATTGAAGAACGTGTGATTGAAATGATGTCAAATCACTATTTTAAGAATGTTTTTTTTTTTTTTTAAATGTGGTTCAAACATAGCCTAAATAATGAAACATTAAATAATGATGTATTAGAAATATTTTGATAAAATTCAGTGATATTTAAATAATATTTTAATTTGAAATAATTTAACCAATGAGTAAAACTAATATGCGAGTTAATTGTTTCAATGGTCACTAAATTTAGGTCCATATCTTTAATTGGTCATTGAAATTTAAAATATCGAGTTTTGGACATTGAATTTAGATCCATATCTTCGATTGCTTACAAGAGTTCAAAATGTCGAATTTTGACCACTGAATTTTGAAAAAAGTTGTACATTATTCACTGTAAATTCGATATTTTTCAAAATTCAACAATTATATTAGTGAGTAACGTATATCATATTTCAAAGTTCAATGACCAAAATTCGACATTTTAAGTTTCGGTGAGTAATTTAAGATATGGACCTAAATTTAATAAACAGTCGAAAATATTGACCTAAATTCAATGATACCCTATTTCATCGTCATCCTCTTCTTGAGGTATTAAATAAAGAATCTCAGACACCCCCCTCCTTCTTAAAGCTCCTTAGTTCTTATTCTACCTCTTTAGAGTAGCTTTAAGACTAAGCAAGGAAGAACTATTAGAGATAGATTCCTGAGTAGTGAGTGCACTCAATTCTTATTCTACCGCTTTAGAGTAGCTTTAAGGCTAAGTAAGGAAGAACTATTAGAGATAGATTCTTGAACAGTGAGTGCACTCAATAGACTATCAAAATTTGATATTTTAAATTTTAGTAACCAATAGAAAATATGGGTCAAAGTTCAGTGAACATTTGAACAATTAACTCCAAAAATCACGTACAGTTAACGCTATTTTAGGAAGACCAGACGACTCTCCCTCCGTGCTTGAGCGCGTTTGAGAGAGAGGATGTCGAACGACGAGGCTGAACAGATCATCGGACTCCACGGAACCCTTCCTCGCCTTGTTGTCTTCGATCTTGATTACACTCTTTGGCCCTTTTACTGGTAAATTCGTACTCCCCCTCATTCTCATTCTTTCACGCTTCCACCGTGATTGAATTTGAATGGTATAATGTGGATTTTTATTCTCAATATTAGAATTTATTTTGCATCGTAAAATTTATCTTTTTATAATGTCATGTAATTTCTTTTCGCACCTTTGGAAATTAAAATACTGCAGTTTACAGTTGGTAAATAATTGTACTGCTAATGTTAGGTTTCATCAATGAGTACATGCGATGCAATGGGAGAGTAGTCAGAATATATTTGGTTACGATTTGATTGAGTGATCATATTATCATAGTTTCTTTGCTTCTTCTTCTTTTTCTCTCTTTTATTTATTTATTATTATTATTTTTTTATAAATTTAATTCTTGCCTCTTCATACCGTCATGATTTCACGGTTCTCCAGTTTGAGAGCTTCAATGTACTGACAAGGATAATAAATCATGGCTCTCAATCAACTCCTATTTTCTTGAGGTTTTTATTACGGGCTCTAATAGGTGTGTGAATCGAGAATATGAGATAAATCACCACCATGCCCCCGAAAAGGAGCAAACTTACAACCCATGACTACAAAAGGAGAAAAACCAAAGATTATGTATAAACATTTGGTATGTAAGAGAAGCATTTTCCTTACAAATATCTTTGTCCATTTAGCATTTTAGGAAAATTTCTCTTAATCACACCTTCAACTACATAACATGGCTAATAGCGTAATATAATACTCTTGGATGCTAGGAATATTTATGAACTCAATAAAAGGATCAAGGAGAGATTTGACTAAGGAATTCTATGAATAAGGACTAACCAGAAACAAGCACAATTTTCTGTATTTCACAATTATTAAGACAAACCAAACACAGAATTTCATAGAATCTGAACCCTTGTACTTAACAAAATTTAGACTTTCACAAGAGTATTTAGAGAGCAAACTCTTGCCCTTCTTTTATCTCTTTTCTGTTTTGCCTCAGTTTTACAGGTAGGCTTTCATATGTAAAACTGAGTAGTGTCCTGCTACTACCATATTGTGCAAAAATCCTTGTAAATTTATTTTTACTATGACTCACAACAGTTTCATTTAACAGGTGAAAGTTAGATAAGCTCAATTCTTTTCTATGCATTTATATAGTGGCTTGGCAGCTGCTTTGCATAGACCTGGCTTGCTTGGATGTTTTGATCACCAATTTATTGATTTCTTCATACTACCATGCAAGAAGAGACCCCTAGTCATATCAAATTTCAATATAGTTTTCTCTCATTACATGTCCACACCAATGTTTTGAAAACCGGCCTGGGAGTTAGGGTTTAAAGGGTTGAACCCAGGTTAAATAAGGTTGAAGTTGTGTCAAAAAATATTTTTAAAAAATTCAAAAATAGATTTTTGAGTGAACTGGCTGGTTCTTATTGTGAATGTTGTTGCGTGAACATGCCGGTACCTAGATTTCTTAAACGGTTCTTAATTTTTCCAGTTTTTTATAAAAACCGTACGGGGTCTTGTTGTTCCCATTTGATCTGTCAGGATCTTGTTTTCAAAATAGTGGTCCACACATATGTGAACACTTGCATTCTCATGCTTCATTTACTGGAATGATGCACATTTCGAGTCCAAGAGGTTGAAGCAACAGTTTAGCATATTAGAGTTTTTACATTACGGATCCTTCCTTTGCTATTGAGAATGTATTATTTCCTTAAATTAACACACCTTTAAATTTAGGCCTGTTCGTTATCTATATCTTTCCTCTTTTTTCATAACTACACACACACACATATATATATATATCAAGATAAAAATAAGATCTTTCTTGCAACCAGAAATTCCAGCTAATCATCAGGAAAAAGTAAGAGTTTTTGAAGGCAAGATGTGCATTTTACATGTCTTTTGAGGATCAGAAACTCTATGCCCATTCATATTTCAGTGTCAAATTATGAC